TATTCCATAGATGGCACTTCCCGCAGTGCTTTTGACATGCTGTGAAGAGAAAATAAGATACTTGAGAAACGACATGCTTGTTGAGCAGATTTAGATGTTTGGAGCATATGTAAAAAGAGGTAAAAGAGCTTGTTTTAACCCTGAGGCTTTGCTTTTTGAAACCATTCCTTAAAATGGGAATCACTGAAAAACGGTAAGTCTTTCACTGAGAGATGGCATTTCAAGCTTTGTTTCTCGGGCTGTGAAGAGAAAATAAGATACTTGAGAAACGACATGCTTGTTGAGCAGATTTAGATGTTTGGAGCATATGTAAAAAGAGGTAAAAGAGCTTGTTTTAACCCTGAGGCTTTGCTTTTTGAAACCATTCCTTAAAATGGGAATCACTGAAAAACGGTAAGTCTTTCACTGAGAGATGGCATTTCAAGCTTTGTTTCTCGGGACTAGTTTCAGTTTCTGTTGTATTAGAATACACAAATCTTCCAAATCACAAGTGCTAAAGGAAAATATCAGAAAATAAAACAACCCACTTTCTTACCATTATCTCCCAAGAGGGGCAATCTTCTTTTTTTGTTGGCAGTAACCTTTCTTGGCAGACATTTATGCCATCTTTAAAAACAGGAACTTAAAGAAGGTATGCTGCCATCAACTGAACAGTCACCATTCTTTATTTGAGATGAAACGAAGAATTCTACTAGACTTGCTTACCAGAACATCTCACCTAGTACATTTACAATTTGTACATTAGAGGAACCGTGTGAATTTGCTGGGACTGCAGGGATTCAGGCTAACCCTTTCCCAAAGGAATTTCTCGGTTACGCTGTTGGGCTGGGACAGCAAGGAAGGCTGGAGAGACAAACAGGGCATGAAGCCGGTGAGGCTCTTTCTCCTGCCTTGGTCATCCAAGGCAGCCTTTTACTGGAGAAGCAGTTAAGGTTTATGAAGTGAGCAAGAAGGACTACAAAAGTTGGAATGCTAAATTAAAATTACATGTGACGAGACAGATGACAAGGTCCTCCAACTAGCAATTTCAGTATTAGGCAATAAAAGCATATTCCTGAAAACACACCAAAACAAATAAAATCTAGAAGAATCATTCTGCCAAGAAATGGCCACACCTTACCCCAGACATCAACTCGGTGAAGTATTACAAAGAAAAGAGAGAATGGGAGAGCCGTTTATACCAGTGGTACTCTTTGGAACTGTGCTCTACAAAACAGAGCCCACCTTAAGTTATTATTAACTTGTACAGTACTTTTCATAAGCTTTTCATAAAATGAAAACAAACCAGAACAGTTTTGCACATTTTAGTGTAAAAGAAACTGCCTCCATTGGGCCTCTTCATTCAAAGAAAGTGAAAAACCTTCCTTTTACAGGATTAGCCATCAGTCAATCTTGACATAATCAGAGCACTAACGAATTTACAGAAGAGAG